CGTGGTTTAAAGTTAACTATTGTCCATAGAAGGGGGAATTCTAGGTCACGTGACTGGGAGAGCAGGGGCGCCGAGAGAGGAGTAGTACCTACAAGCAAAATGGCCGCGACGTCGCTTAATGAGGGATAATAGTTCTGCTTGGTTCTGCTGAACATTAATTTCGATCCGGCTGTTATATTAATGACGCACCATCAACCTATTAGCACGCCAAGCAAAGTGGTAGTTCAGAGGGACTACTAAACTAACCGACGGTAGCATTCCGCGAATGCATCCCTCTTCAGCAGTCCGGAATCCAGGACATATGACGGTACATAAGCCTTGCAAGTGTTTTTATGGTAAGTAAAAAAAATGTTTTGTGAACGAGTGTTGGTATATATTTATACTAACACGTTTAATTTGTTACACTATGAACGCCGACTAGTGAGCAGCGATTACTTTGCGGAGAAAGGGGGTTATCCTTGATAAAGTCTTCGTGCTGGGCGTTGTACTGTTTTTTTGTTCGCAGTGCGCCGACAGTATGTCGACAGCATCGAGGTTTCTACAAATCCCCGGTGGCCAGCAATTCAACGGTAACGGGAAGCTTAGGATCTCGTCACCATTCACGAGAACGGTGACCAGCAATTCAACGGTGACGAGATCCACCGGTGACGAGAAGCTTAGCTTCTCGTCACCGGTGGATCGGTTGGGCAAACGGAAGAGAAGGCACACAGTTAAGATCAGCAGGAATCGCAGAAACGTGCGTCGCAAGGAACAAAAAATGAGAACACAGCACCGAAGTTGCCAGACTGGAAGGCACACGGGAAAGTTATGCGTTGTTTATGGCGAAAGATATTGAAGGAAATGTTTTTTACATTTTCGAATATCCGTCGACAAACTCTAGCATAGTAGCTAAAATTTCTTCGTACCATCTGAAGCAAATAAATTGGTGTTCAAGTACAACATTACTGTATTTTGATGTATAATACCATACTAGATCGATAACAACCAGCAGAAAAAGAGGATAAACAAAGTGACTGGCTTGTTTCACCGATGGATGGCGCATCTTACTGCCCAATGAAAAATAATTATTGTTTTTCTATATCCAGCCGTTTATTACAGTACCTAGGTACTTTCTCCTTCCTAGGCACCGTGGTTTACCAAAATGGGTTTACCGTCGCTTCGAGAAAACCGGCCCTGGAGGTAGTCACTTGAAAGGTTGTATTCATTCTATACTATTCCATCAACCTACCACGCGGCCGCGCGAGGTAGAGTGGTAAAGGATGTAATAGAGAAGTTTCAAATGTACCTCTCCCCCACTTTATGCAATCTCTATGATCCATAGCTGTCACTGTTACGAAAACGCAGCCTCTCCTTCCTTTAAAGCACAAACAGTATGACCCAAACTGGAAACATAAACAGTAATCTTTGTCGTCACCCGAAAGTACAATGACCTGTTGTCCTGACCGAAATTCGGAGTTTATCGGAAAAATCCGAATTGACCAAACTTTTATGGTGGATGTTTTTACGGAGTTTTTCGGTTTTATCCGAAAACACGGAACCCTAACTATGGGTCAGCGTGTCAAACGAGATGGCTTGATCGAAGCAATCGCTATCGAGATAAGCACGCCGCGCATGCTTATCTCGTGCCTCCACCGAACTCGTTCAGCAAGGAAACAGCGATCTTGTTCTCCGAACATCTAAGAAGCCGGAAGGTTACAAAGAAATAAAGAAAATTAAGGTTGGACGAGTTTGCTGGCATTAAAAACGGCGCCGGCACTAACGTTTCTAGTAACGTTAGCGTCGTCTATTTTATGACGGGATGTTGCGAAGTAAAGATCGAGCGACTCAGCGCAGGCGGTTCTTGGCGAATGGTAAGCTTGCTAGTTTTAACAGGTTTAACTCGATTGATTGGTCATTCCTAACGACGCTGAGATCCCAGCATCCATCGTGCTGTCATTACATGAGAATCAATGGAAGATTGAAAGACAACAAAACTAGTTTTTTCATACTTTTCATGTATGTGTGTGTGTGTGTGCGTGTGCGTGCGTGCGTGCGTGCGCGTGTGCGTGCGCGTGTGCGGGTGCGCGTGCGTGTGCGTGTGTGTATGTGTCGGCGATGCAGTCGGAAGGGGAAGCAGAGGGCAATCGTGGGAGTGGGCTTATAGGCCCATCTGCCACTGCCCGTCTGAGAAGGAGGCTGGGGAAAATTCTTTACAGATGAGACTTTTCTGTCTCGTGCTGCAATTATTCACATAATGTGAATATTACATGCGAGCTTTGTGTAGCAACTAGTTTGCCAGTTCTCGTCGCTACTGCGACAAAAACTCCATTTCATAAAACGTTTCAAGATGAAACAAGCATCCTTTTCTTACAATGACGGGAGCCTTCCGTGGGCGCGCACAATTGTCGTGCTTGATTTTATTCAACCATATTTCTTTTTTTTTTTCTTTTTTTTTTCTCTTTTTTTTCTCTTTTTCAGAATTATACCTTTTTATTTTTTATTGTATCAAAAAAGAAAAAAAGAAAGAAACCCGTGACGGCTGTGATTGGAACATCCAACCGCACAACAGCCGATCATTCCCTCACCAGAAAACCTAGAAATAAGGCTCTGTACGCAGGATACCATGCTGCTCTGCATGCGCGAGTTGGACTGGAATCGGTAACGGTGAACAGGCCTGCGCCTTTCCCCCGGCGTTTTAGGTTGCTAGGCGGTTGCTAGGCCCGGCGTCAGTTCTATGTGGGAGCCTGGGAGGAGTGAAGAAACGGCAAGAGGTCACCGAGGACAATAGATGGTCAGACTCTTTCCGTATATATGGCTCTCGAAAGGGGTGCCACTAAGCGCTACTAGCGTAAGCGTAAGCTGGTACTACAAACGGTCCGCCCTCCAGAAATTTATTTTGGTTATTGTTGGGTCCGCCCTCGTATATAAATTTACAGAAGAACATTATTATAGAGCAGTGCCTTATTTTATCTGAACGTTGAACCAACATAATTAAAGCGCTAGCTTCGTGCTTATTGCTCATACCTGCAAAGGGCTAGCCAATGACTCTTAATCGCGGAATGAGTGCTATTTCAACCTCGAAGTATACAATTATGTTATTCGTTTCAAATAACGTTTGGTTCATCAAATCTAGAGGTGGTAAAGTCGGTAAAAACATTGGGTGTGCTTTTCACTGGATCATTGCCATGGAATGAGCACGTTGAACATGTACATAAAAAAGCTAGCAAATCTATTGGTCTCCTTTGTAGAAACCGTTATGTCTTCCCAACAAGAGTGAATTTACTTTTTATATTATTCTTTCGTTCACACTCACTATGTATATTGTCATTTAGTTTGGGGCCAAACAACAAAACATAACTTAACAAGACTATTACTAAACCAAAAGAGGGCTCTTCGAATTGTTGCGAATGTTTCCTTTTTGCATCCATCTAAGGAATTCTTTTACGGCATTGTGTCGTTCCTAAAGCACAACTGTATGAGTTTAGATCGCTGGTGAAGTATAACGTAACCTTAAAACATAAAAATACATTTTTTTTTTATTTCTGCGCTGTCATGCTTAACAAATTTAAAGCATAAGTATATACGTCACTCGCGATGGCGGGTATTTGAGTGTTTCAACACCCCGTACTAATTACGGTTTTCCATTATTAAAATATGTGCTGCCACCTTTACTTCATTAACTTGAAGCAAATAATGTGTCTACTTGACAAGACAGATTGAATGTTAGCAAACATAGTATTAGAGTCTCATTTTCTATGTGATACTTTGTTGTGTAACGCATGTGTTGTAAAAATATTCTTCTGTGTGGGCAAATGTCGTTTTAATTAATATTCTAAATATACAATACATTGATAAAAGTGTAGTGTGTGTTTATTTGTGTTTCTTTTAAGCTGTTTTCCCGCCAAAGTGTGTATGGGAGTTAGGGCCTCGTCAAACTGCAGTAGCAGTTTTTTGTCCGCGTTTCCACCTTTCTTCACTGTATAATGAAGAAAAAGCAAAATAAAAGCTTTATTATTGTTATTATTTAATAACCTGCAGTATTTTATTTCTTTGAAAATGGATGCAAACGTTTCCCCACTATTAATGATACAGCCGGTGCTTTGACACAAATGAGGGTCATTGGAGGTTTGAAGTTTCATTTTATTGTATATATCAGTATTTGTATATCCAAATACTTTTCCCTGGTATCTCTTCCTACCCCTGCTGCATGCATATCTCTGGTAAACTTTCTAATGTTAGCTTCACAATGATGAATACACTGTTTCCTATAAAATAAGTAAATAAATAAATAACTCACGATTGTGTAGGCTATCGTCACATAATCTCAGAATCGAGTAACTTAGTTCCAAAGATAAGTTCCTGAATCGAAATATTCATGTTTAAAAACTTTACGATTTTATCGTAACACACTGTACTTCTGCAGGCCGGAGTCCCTAACAATGATTCGCCGATTGGAGAGGAAAACCCCTATGAACATATTTGCGGAGATTGCACGCCAGACAAAACTACGAAATTGTTCAAGGAGGCTGCGATCGAGTGAGCCCACATCCGAGAAACCCTGAAAGCGAGGTAATCGCAGCTCTCTCTCTGTGAAAACCGCCCCGAGACAAATCTCGACTAAATGTCGGGTTGGAAGTTTGCTGCCTGCTTTTAGACTTTTGTTTTATATATACACTGCCCATTCTGTTTCTTTTTTTTGTCTCGTGCGCTGCGTAGAATCGCAGTGTCGTTTCTCTTTTATTGTTTAGTTCTATCCGGGAGGGCAAACGTTCAGGTGGCGAGAAGGCGACAGGTGCCTTGAGAGGCGTGGACGAATGTGTCTCGCTCACTGCCGTATTGATTTTCATCAGCGGCTCCCACCCTATCTTATTGCTGCGTTAATATTTCGGGCCACTGTTTCTGTTACCGATTGGGACGCCAAGGATTTCTCATTTGGGGGTCACTCAAGTAGTATAAAAGTTCAGATCGACGGTTCGCCAAATATCAGTTCTCTCGGAAACCTCCAGAGGAATACCGGCACCATGAACACCCTCGTAAGTGCCGGAGGCTTTGGACTGCCACCGTTTCTTCTTGTTTCGCTACCTAATGGATCTCTGATCGGTTGCTTTCGCTCGGTTATGCCTCTGTGATCAATCGAATAAGAATGTGCCTCTCCATAACCCAGCATTTTTTGCGAACCTTCTTGATTTGCGTGGACCAGGTTTCACGGGTTCAAATCAACGAGGTTCGCAGAACTGTCTACTTCCGGCCAGATATTGTATTCCCCCATCCACGCTGTCTAGACACCGAATTTGACTTTGTATAAAGCCAATGGTGCTTTCTAGACACAGTTTAGCCTGTTTGGGATCATTGTGTGACGTTCCAAATCGTCTTGCGTTCTTCGTTTCGAAACTTCAGTGATGTGTCTGGTTTCTTGTACGCGAACTGTCGAGCCATCAAAAGAGTTGACTTAGGAAGGTATCTATATTTAGCGGGTCTTTAACCATACATTCCCATTATAAATATTTCGAGCACAACCTTCTAAGAATATATTTGATCAAACCGTTTACTAGCTTCAGCCAAACGCGGTATGTATATATATCAGGGTCCTGGACAGTGTTCTTGGATATCACGCGGATTGCATTAAACTTATGAGAGTTACCTTATAATTTAACTGCAGTATATGTTCGTTTTGAACTTGGTTGAGTTCCTTCTCATTCATCACTAGCAGCACGATGGTGCAGGCTCAGCCTAAGATGCATCTACCCTCATCTTCCATTCTCAATCGCATTTTCGCCTTCGCACCTGTCGGCTCAACGAAGCTTCATATGCTTTGCAGGTCGTCTTCGCCGCTCTTATTGCTTGCGCCTACGCCGGCGGTTTCGGCTATGGTGGCCTCGGCCTCGTCGGTGGCTACGGCCACGGTCACGGCCACGCCCACGCTGTGGCTGTCCCCGTTAAGACCGTCTCCTACGTGAAGAGGCCCGTCGTCAGCGTTGGCTACGTCACCCGCCCCGTTGTGAGCTACGTCAAGCAGCCCGTGGCCACCGTCTCCCACACCGTCCAGCCCGTTGTCTCCGTCAGCCACGCCGTCGTCGGCGTCGGCCACGGTGGATACGGTGGCGGATACGGCTACGGTGGCGGACTTCTCGCCGGAGGTCTCGTCGGCGGCTATGGCGGACACGGCTACGGCTTCGGAGGCTACGGTCTCAAGGGCTTCCACTAAACCCCTTCCACTCCAGACGATCGCTGGCTAGCTGCGGTTGTACCGCACTTGCTTCCTGTGAGTCCTAGCTACTTTAAAAATCATATTGCGACACAGGCGGGTATGCCCTTCAAAGACACCTATATGCAGTCGAGCACAATGAGATTATAATGATCTAACGGAGTCAGGAGAGTTAAGGGGACGATGTAGAGTGCATATGAGGGCGTTCTTATTTTTTTACAATACGTGCCTTTATTCAAAAGCGTCTGGAACGAGTTTGCACGCCGCGTCGCACAGGTAGATCCCAGAACCAAATGGATTTAATCGCTGAAAAAAAAAAAAAAACTTGAACAGCAGGAGAGACTTCATTTATCAGCCGTTTCGGGAATATAATTTCTTCCTCCAAGTTGTCAAAGGCAAGGGGGTATTCTTATAACCAATCGTCGCGCAGTCTCCTTCGTACAAAATGTTACCAATTATGGATTCGAAGCGTCTAAGCTCAACGATCTGAACGCAGTGAAAACCAATGGCTCACCTCTAAGCTAAATGCATCCTTCGTTGCAGCTCGAACGTCAACGCAGGCGGATGGAAAGTCAACTGCGACATCTGCAAAATTTTCCAGGATACGTATTTATTATGTACATGGGATTATTAAACCTGCAACGTTCAATGACATCTGGCTATTTGACTTTTTCCTTTTTACTAGGCTCCCATGCCGTTTTGTCTTTTTCATTTGGAGGACAGTTCCAACCGAATACAAAGGTTGCTTTCCAACTGATGCATTTCAAAGGAAATGGACTCGTCAGTATACATAAAAAAAGGAAGAAAAATGAAAGAATGAACTAGAGATATAAGTGTACGGAAGTGTGAAAGAATACGCCATAGGATATGATAACTAAGGATATGCCACAGTATATTGAAAGTACAGAAATATTCGGTGGTACTTGGCAGAATCAGGAAGAGTCCCGTTTAAACAGACACAAGAAGGACGAAACATGAAGGCTCACCTTTAAAGCGGAACTCGGCTCTTATAATTCTTACTGTGGTTTGTTTCTTTCTTTATGCGTTTTAAAACACTTGTTCCCCTGAATTGTAGAGTGTGTAGTTCATCTTTATGGAAAATCTAAAAGACAAAGAAACACTCTGGTCTACAAATTTTGTTTTGCGACAAACCTAAGGAAAATAAGGGCTGTTAAAGTAGGGTTAAACCCGTCTCCAAGTAGCGAGAAAAGCATAGAACGGAGAAATGAATAGGAACAAAACACTTGCTCATAAAATGTTTATAAAAAAATACTCTCCTTTTGTCGCACCATGCGGCACGTGTGGTTCTTAAACACGGTACTGACGACGACGGTATGAAGTGTCAGTTCATCGTCGAGCCCACAAACACATCCAACAGCACAGTGAGGGTTACTTTGGTTTGACGGATGTGTTAGATCATAATGCCAAAAAGAGATATCGAGTGAGCTAGCTGGTGAGCTCGTGCTTCTGTCATCATAGCAATGTTTGCCGTGTGACTCTTGCGACTGCGCTGCGAACGAACGCCATGTGGTTAAACCGCAACGCTCACAGCGCACGTTCACATTCGGAGAAAACACGTTCGTCTTCAAACCCGTTTATTTCACTGATAAACTAGTTTTCGATCTTCACCTGGTTTCGAAAATAACAAAGGTCCGTGCTTATACCGAATGATTATCTATTTTGCCCATTTCCTAGGCCTCCCGCGTAGCCTGACTCGGGTACCGCTATTTGAAGGCAGCAACTTTGTAAGTCCAGGTTACGTCCCGCAAGAAACACATGCCAGTAAACTTCAGTGAGAACACACACACACACACACAAACAGAATGCATACTCTTCTTTGCCACACGGACAGTGCGGAAATCTCTATAATGCACCTACGGAGATGTCTGCAGGGCAAAAAACGGAGCGAATGCCAAACCTCGCCAGCTCAGACGGTCGAGAACTGACAAGAGCTATGAATATTTAGGAGCCAGAGTGGTGCGAAGGGACCCCGAGGCGTGAAGTGGTGCCGAACGCGCACGTGGCTCGCCTCGACAGGCCGCGTGTCCTTGCCGCACCCCCCGGAGCCAACGACCAAGGATAGGAACCCGGCACGACCTCCGGCAGGCGTCACGGAAACTGGCACAGAACGCATATCAACGAACGCCATTACGAAGGGCGTTGGCTTTCCTCGCGAAAAGAAAACGGCGATGAGCGAGGCTATGACACAGCCAATGACGACGGCGACAAACGGGTTCGCGGCTGTTCCGATTCTCCACCTGACATAACCGTGGGTGTTGCTTGACTCCCCGCATTCCGGGTTCGCCCGCCAACCGCACCGGGGCGCTGCGCTGCAGTAGCTCACTTCCTCGCCGGCGAAGCAAGTGGCTAGCAGTGCCGCTCAACGCCTTGGCAGGTGCGCTTGTGCAGCGGAGGTGGCACACTTTTGTTACAGTTCTGGTCGCACCGCCCACGTTCAACCATTGTGCGCGGCATCCTCGTGACGTCTAGGTCTCTTGGGCGAGCCTCTTGTAGGCTGCCTGACTACCTCTGCATAAAGGGCTCCTAGAGGACATTTGGTGTGTGCGGCGGTCCTGAGGCGGCTAAGGCTCGTAAATGGGGAGAATTAAACTGGAAAGTGATCGAGCCAACATGTTTCTTATTTCAGATGCGAGACAACAATGCCTTCTTACGAGCCGTAAGAAGGCATTGCAGGCACGGAATGGCAGCTCTCTATCTTCGACTAAAGCATTATTGGGGGCTTCTTAACGTTTCTGCGTTCCTATATTCTGTTTTTTTTTTTTTTTTTTTTTTTTTACACAGGGCGAAATCAACTCGATCAAATGGGTGAATTATTTTCACTCAACAGAAATTCAATGCGTCTGAGGTCACTCTACAGACCACGTACTGAGTGCAACTGTTATATTGAAGAGACACCTGTACAATCGTAGATTTCGAGTTTGTCTTCCAAGATCTGTTTAACTAACTTCGACTTAAATGCTGATTTTCCAATCTGGTAACGTACACCAGTGTGCCCCGCAAAGAACACCTATACGTCCTTCCCTATTGTAAACAGAAGTTGACACGTTCCATACATTATAAATCATGAATCACTGAAAAACTGCTCTTATCGCCGTGGACTCTTTATTATTTCCGAGGGAAGGTTTTCAACAAGTTTGCTACACTTCTAGCGTTTAGGTGATTTATAAGGCATGCGGCTAAATCAATCTCTCTGCTACGTGGAAGACGACGTAAGCAAGCAGTCGTGACATTTACATATGAAGGCAATCTGTGCCAGAGAACTAAAAGTCGGCACGCCCCATTGGCTGGCCCCTTCATTACGCCTGCTCGTGACTGACGGTAGACGGCTACTGAATGCGAGTTGCGGTGCGACTTTTTCCTTCTTCTTTTCAGAGGCAAACAAAAAAACTCGGGGGGTAAATAATAACTTGCCGAAACTGAACAAAGGGTGTGTTTGCATTGCCTATATTGAATTGTGCTGAGCCGTCAGGAACGTTTCGCAACAAAGGCCTAGTTGCCACACTTTGAGTTGCGTGCACGTACTACCGTACGTTGTGTGGCATTATATTTGTGCTATTATTATAATAAGGTGCCCCCACCCCCCTTCCTCCCTAAGTCACTGTCAAGAGAAAAGCCGAGATTTCGATCTACGGATTTACGAAACAAAGAACCGTCGAACATTGTCTTTTTTTATGGACAGTTCAAGGATATTCATTTATTCCTCACGTCACCGAGAGTGTGTATACATTTCAAAAGAACAGCCGCGACACGTTTGCACGCTGGCTTGTAAACACTCATTGTTTCGGGGAAGTTTGTTTTCTTAGGATAGCTTGTACTTCCAGCTGTTGTGATTTTGAGGCAATTTTGTGGGACTCAACCGACTCTTTTTTTGCAGCGAGTCGTTCATCGTGGACGCTTTTATGGGTTCGGTCACGCCAGGAGTCAGTCAAAGCTTGAGCGATTCAAAGGGTTCAGCCAAATGCCATACGCGTTGTGACCATTACACGGGGCTCGCACCAAAAAAAATTTGCATCGATCGAGTTCGGCTCAGCAGCAAAGCTTGTACACAAATTCTCTTTGAGGAAACAAAAAACAAAAACAGGGCGTCGCTTTTTTGTTGTGTTGCGTAAAGACGCCAACGTACTGGAGATGAAGAGAATTGGCTGAATACCGTAACATCTCCGCCGTGCATATCTTTAAACTTGAGCCCGAGTCCATACTATATCTTATCTGTAATTAATCATCAAAACACATGTGACAAGATGTTGATTCTTTGTGTTACCTTAAAATAATTGTATCGCAATGCATCCTCTCACAATAAATAGCAAAAAATGACGGTTCCTTCCCCGCCAAGCAATCGAAGCTAGAAAAAAACTTAGATGTAGGTAAAACACTCAAAATACATAGTTTATGTGTGTGTGTTTCAGCTTCGGTTATTGTTTACACTTCTGCAGTGGTGGTTAAACAGACATTCATATTTTATATGCGTAATCAAAGCCATGCTGTCGTTAAGGTTTTAGCCTTGAGAATAGACCTTTTCTATGTAAAAACAGCGCCAAGCAGCGGGTGCACAAACGACGTTCGGTAAGGTCGGATGAATAAATGAGTGGATGGATACAGCTGCTGAGCCCTTTTAATAGGGCGGCAACGTGCGCCACCGACTAAATCCGCGGAGACAATTTCAAACTACGTTCCGGCGGCTCGTTCACGCTCCGCTCATAAAGTTGCCATTCTGCTCTCGGAAAAAGTGTGAAGAGATTAAAAATTATAACGAGAAGATTCGCGTCTGTGTACTTCAGGAGCGCCGTGCAATGTTAGTTCCGAGGAAGAACGTAGTAAATAAAAATTGAAGGAAAAGTTCGGTCCAAATACATTGCTTTCAAAGAGGGGCAGAGGACTATTCGTCTCACCAGTGATGTCTGTTTTTTGTTGATGAGTGGTGACAAACTCGTTGTGATTCTGTTTTAGCGTAAGGTGTTGCGAGTTCAGACTCGCTTCCA